TGAGCAAAAGATTTGAGAGCAGCACTTGGTTTGCACGATTGTTTCCAAGCTAGGCCTATATAATAGTAATAATAATAATAATAATAATAATAATAATTATTATTATTATTATTATTATTATTATTATTATTATATAGTTTTTATTGTTTAGTTTTTATTTTTATAGTTGTTAGCAGGGCCAGAATAATTAAGAGTTCATTTGAACACACACACATTTTCTCTCACGCAGCAAGCCAATTCCTTTCGAGACTTTTGCTGGATTAATGTCGAGTACATATCTGTAAATTAACAGTTTTCAGTATTTTGTGATTTTTTTTATTTTTTTTATTTATGTATTAATTTATATTGTCTGGGCTGGTGTTGTATATTATGCTACAAAAACTTTGTAATAAACTGTCAGTGCATTTTCTGTTATTTTATCTATTTATCTTTAGCCTATAAGCTGGACATCTTACTACAAATATGAGGGAGGCTAGGCGCCACGTTTCACTTTGGCAGCAGCTGCAGGTGATGAGAATGATGCAAGTAGAATCAAACTGTCAAAGAGAACGATGATCTTAATTTTTTTTTGTTTAAAATAACTGTTTAACATAATACACTAAATTTACATATCATTTGAACCACATACTAGAACATAGGCCTATGCCTGATTCATCCATTGCTTATGCATAAATTATACAAAAACATATAATTATAATTATTAATTTTTTATTTACCAAATCTGAGCTCCTGACCTCGCCCTCAAAATAATAGTCTTGTAGTCCTCTGTGGATCAGCACCCAGGCATTCAATTATTATTATTTGATATATATTATTAGACATTTATCCTTACAATTTATCATTTAAAAAAAAGTTATAGTTTGCAGCCATTTTTGCTGCTATGCACCTGATGCTGAGCAAGATTTCCGAGCACGACAGTTTTACGATTGTGATCTGCACCGAGGAAAAGGCAGATGACATAATTCGTAAAATAATAACTTTAAAATGTAAATGTTTGTAATACAGAAATTACAGTGAGCATAGGCCTATAATTAAATCCTTATTAGCAAAACAATTCATCCACAGCACTGTATAGCAGACCGGCCCTAACAAAAAAAATACACTTCATATAGGCTTTTTTTGTTGGAAAGATGAGCTTTTTGGAACGAATTTTGTTTGGTATAATTTGTATAAGCAAGATATCTTAATTTTAATGTATTTTTTGTTGGCCAGTTAACTACAAACAACAATATTTGAGGTCCCCTATATAGGCCTGGCTTCAGTGCCAAAACACAAAATTTTTTGTTAAATAAAATAATAATATAAATAAAATTAAAGTGAAATATTCACAATTTCAGAGTAGCCTAAATTAAACTGTATTGGCTATTAATATCAAAATCATCTATTGCGGCTGTCAGTTTCGATTTAATTCCGTGATTTGAATGAGCCAGGACAGCCTTACAAACTCTTTGCAGCAATGAAGGTATTCCCCG